TACCAAATGCCACGAAGCGTCCCAAGCAAGACTTCTTTTATCATCTGGTGCCCCAGACACCACCCCGCTTCGAAAAGATTGTGAAAAGGCGAAGACCCCCTAGCCTCACTTCCTACCTGACAGAAATCTAATGTGTTACAGTACTCCCGGGAGGACCCCTCAATTTGCCCCTGTGCTGCAGCCGCCCCTTTGCGGGGTCGGCGGCAGCGGCGGCAGCCCTTAAATATAGTAGTTTCCATGTTATTGTACATTATCCCGATGTAATCCAAATATATACCCTATAATCCCTACATAAGCCATTATTATAATTTAAGCTGGCGTGGAAACTGCACCCTAAACCCTAAACCAGTGAATTGCTGAGTCAGGCCTTCCTTGGGCTGCAGCTGACAAGCCACACTCTTCTTCAACCGCTCGGGCAGCAGCAACCTGCACAGCATTGTGTCTATATGAAAGGGTTTCCAAAAAACAAGGGTAGCCTTTTTGGGGTCCATATAATAAGACTTCTAGTATTTGGGGTATGTTGGGGTCCCCCTATCTTGGGAAACTACAATTTAAATGGCTTCCATCTGGCTGATAAGTTCTGAAAACGAAACGCTCTTCCAAAAGCACCGGGCATCTACTCATGAGCAACTGTCTGCCACTGTTGTCTTGGCTCGCCGGGGACCAGACAACTGCAGCTTCACCGCGATGCAGCCTCGCAAAATTTCTCTGCTCTACCACCCTGATTAAGGCCAGGCCTTGTTATTGAAAGCGACCTTACATGGGGCAGAGGCATCTGCGACGCGGCTCCTAGGAAAAATGTATCCGCCTCACCAGCGGCAGGCCAAATTCTAGCCGCGGAGCTGCAAGTCCTCATACCGAGAGTGCCAAGCGAGATAAGACCTCTTGAGGAGCCATGCGCCATGCATCTGAACCCTTTCCTTCCCCAAAACAACACAGCCCAAACCACTAACAGAATACATGTGCGTTGTGCCAAGGCACGGCACACGTGAAGAGGGAAGCAAATCCCCTTTCTCACTATTGAATTGCTGTGAGCAACGCATGCGGCATTTCGGCTTTTCCTGTGCTCGGCAACTCAATAGAAGAACCTGGGATCAGGACTCTGAGAAACCCTAGGAGCCGTTCTGTGACCCCAAAACTCCGAAATCCTCCTGTAGAAGTTCCTTTTAGGAATTTCAGGGTTGTAGATATTGTCGGGATCTCCCTTCAACATATCTGACCAATTTCATCGTCATCATTCCCGAGCAGCCCACTCCCTACGATTGCTGGCAGTTGTCAAGTCTCACAGACAGTTTCACGAGCCGAAAGTGACGACAACGGCTACTCGACCCGCCCCCTGCATCGGCCTGTTTGCACTCTTGGTTTGGAGTCCTTACTTGGTAGAGGTTCAAAAAGGGCGACAGTCATGGAGATTCCGTATGTCCCCACACCCCCATTTCTAACCCCCTACTCCAACAAACAAAGCCACGGCCCAGCTCTGCCAGAAAATGATCAGCCATACACACCATACACGAACACATACATGCACACATACAGACAAACCTGGAAACATAGACAAACGTCCTTTGTCATCCAGGACACGATCAATGAGAAGGAAGCATGCTCGGTCTCCGCCTGGTCCATATCAAAAAGGTCAACTTTCTGCACGGCTAGCCCTAAACCTAAACCAACAAACGATCATACTTCGCATCTGCAATTGTGGAAACAGAAAAAAAGATCAACTGCAAGGACATGGCCTTTGCCAGGCTTGCACACCAATGCAGCTACTGCTGCCAAACTGCAGTCTTCAGCAGTTGAGGCAAAGCGCCTCACACAGCTGTGCTCCCGACTCCCAACTTCTGCGCTTTCAGCAGCCTCTTAGTCAACTACAAATACCATCAAATCCAACAATCAAAGCTTTCCTTTGAGGTACCTGGATGTTGACCTGAACAGCCGCAGGCTTTTTGCTATGATGAACGGACCGCAGCGGGGAATTGAGCAGCAAGCCATTTCAGCAACTGCTCTCTGCTCATCCTTGAACAGGAAAAGGATCCATGCGAATCACCCTGTGTTTGATCACTAGATACTGCTGCAAGTGCTTGCAGATTTTGAAGGACAGTTGGGGTGTGAAAATCATCGCAATCTGACGTCCAGCGCTGTGTGTGCGATCAAGATCTTCCCAAAACCTTTTTCGGCTCTGCCACCAAATCGAACTTGCAGCGAGCGCTTCCTACGACAGCTGCCGACCAACTGAGAAGCGTGCGCAGACTCACAACTTCAGAGCCAGCTGGCCGCTAAGTGCTGCCTTAAAATCCGGATTGCGGTATCTTGGGGAGTTGTACGACACGACGTTGTACAGCTACAGGAGACTTTACCTTGAAATCTTGAAAGGCGTCGCATTTCAGAGTGGCAGAAGCACTTGCGCAACGGGGTTGCGGCTTTGCAGCCAATTGGATGCTGCAAGCTTTGGGAAGGTCTTGGATTGTATGCTTGTTGTTATCTAGGGGTCTGCCCTCTTGCAGCTTTTTGCGATTGGTGCACATGGTGTTCGGCGAGAACTTGTCTCCCGCCTAGGATGCAAAGCCGAATTGTGAGAGGCCCATACATGGGCTAATGCTCTTACAGTCTTGGAGAGCTACTGACACTCAGGACATCACAGGCAAACGCGGCCAGGTGCTCCTAGCAAGACAGCGAAGCAGGCTGTGTTTGTCACGTGAGATGGTGCATGCCGAGGGCTCAAGCAAGTTGGATAGATGTTTTATCTGTCACCGCACTTGTGAACTTACATGGCATGGGTGCCGTCCTATGTACATAAAGCTGAAATGCCATAGGCCACTCACGCAGTCTTGTCTTGGAGATGGCCCTCTTCCAGCACCTTGCCCTTGACTGCTGCTTGCGCCTCCCATCGAAGCCGCATTCAGAAAACTCGCTGGCGCTTTGCTACAAGAGAAGAAGCCACTAGGGTTTGGGTCATTGGCAGGCTAGCTACAGTAGTGGAGCCTACAGCTCAATGCAGTATCCAAGCCAATCAATTCGGCAGAAGTAGCCTCTGCATCATCTTTCGTGAAACCAACTCCGACCTTGACTCAAATTTGTGAGGATACGACCAAATGCTTTGAAGGAATCATCAATGGAGCCCCTAAATGATGCCACATTGCTACGAAGACTGGGGTTGATTTTTGGGTGGCCCCATGTTCTGGATCTCTGGCGGTCTGAGTTTCTTGAAATGCTTGAACTCACCGTCAACCTTGATTTGCCAGGCCACAAAGCTCTGCAAAGCCGGCTGGTCGCCTGCGCTTGACGTAGCCACAGCAGCTTTCAACAAGCAAGAAGTTGACGGCTGAGAAGGACATGTCCAACATCCCAATCCAAAAATCCGAATCCCAAAACGACCCAGACGTAAATATCAGGATCCCACAAGGTACTATGATTGCCTCACATGTGGCAACAAGTAGGCCAAGCACGACATGTGTCTGTGCCCGGAGAAGCATCTATCAAGATAGTCCACCCCAACAAAATGTCACTGGATGTCCTCCAGTGAGTGGCTTCCAGAAGAGATTCGCAAACTTGGAGACCTCCTGCTACAGAGAACACTGGAACACTGCTTAGTTCTTGAAATTCCTTACACATTTTGATCTGATGTCCAATTTCTCGGTCTCTGTGCAAGGAGCAGCTGGCCTGCTCCAGCAAGCTCGCAGGTGCTTGCGATTCGGCCTCGAAAAGTCTCCATGACATCAACCATGAAAAAAGAAGACCACATCCCAAACCACAGTAGCCCTACTGTGCATTCATGGAAGGTCAGCCTTGGCAGCAGCGAAAGATGAGGCAGCCTAGACCCCATTAGGCAAAACATGTCAACACCGCGGACTGAGGTCCCATTGAAACCCTATCTTGCTTGAGCTCGTGACATCAAGTTGTATCAGGCTGGTGGGTTGTTGGCCGGAAGGGAAGCTTTGATCCTGCTCCTGTCATGGCTTGCAGACTTCACCATTCGATCTCAATATGGTTTCACGTATGTTCACAGAATGTTTCACTGGACCCCAGGCAACAAGTAGAGACTCTTGAGGATACCTGCAGGCAGCAGCTCGCCCAGCCTGATTCCACCGGTCCTCTCCGCTTCTCGGACTGTCCTGCCCACCATGCCCTGTAGCGTTCTCTGCTCCACACCAACACTGCACAGCTGCATGATTAAATTGCCGTCCTCCCCATCCTGGGCCGACAACTGCAAGAAGCTGGGCATCTGCATCAAAGCAGCAACGCCATTTGAGCAAGTTATGAGAGCACGCAACCCTGGCAATTGAATCAAATCTGGGCAGCAGCGGCTGATTATTTGCAAACATTCTGGCCTACTTCCCGCTTATCTTTTCACACAGCACTTGAATTGAAGCAGCTGGCACCTGTCGTCTATGGGGTTGGCCTCGCGGGCTGCAAAAGATCCGGCATGACAGCACCCCGCGCCAATCCTTTACTACAGTCTGCTACCAAGGCACGCTTCTTGCGCTGCGCCACCTGTTTTCTTTGTTCATACAAGCTCTGAACAGAGCAAACCAAGATAAACCAAGAATATCTGCCCACCTTGCGTAGCGCTTCCTGGAGCTTTTTAGTTTTCAACTTGAGAGCGGACGAGCTCTGTTTGGCCTGTGGTGGCTGCAACAATGGCTAACCCAAGCAGAGTGCAGAAACACGGCAAAACCCACGCCTGATGAAGAGAGCTTCCGCGCGGTGCCCTGCTCGACTCAGGAACCAAACGTGTCCATTTCACATCAAAGGGCGGTGCTAGCACAAGAATGCTAAGCTGATCATAATGTTTTGTCCTGTCCAGCCTCGATTTGGCATTGCGAGGAGATGCAGATGAGCTTCTGCGCAGGTGACAGATGCAGGGTATGGATTACCCTGCTGAGGGATCAGCATGCCTCTGGCGGTGCACTTGGTCCATGGCGCTGTGGGCCTGATCAGACGGCTGGGTTCCCTGGGCTTGAACAATTAAAAATGTCGGTGCCTGCGTTGTGCCCAGCTTCTCCAAGAAACCGGAGATAACCTGTCGAGATACATTCGAATCCCCAGCACGTCCAACGATTTGACTGCTTCAAAGTCATCGTCGGCAGACATGGAAAGATGTCCTGTTTGTCCTACCCTTCAAAAGCGCACGCAGCAACCAAAAGAATAAGAAGACAGCTGATGACGCTCATCTGATGCCTTCTGGTGGTCTTGTGCAACGCCATCGTACTGCTTCTCATTTTTCCTGCTCAAAGATGAAGGAACACCACCGAAAAAAAAAAAAAAAAAAAAA